TACCCCATCTGTAGGGGGCAACATTTGATATAGTTTCCTATAATCAATTATAATGTTTACAGTAGATGTGAAACAATTAAATAAAAGCTTACACTATTTTTATATCAAAGAAAAAGAAAGTAACTCAAAATATTTATTATTAAGAGAAGAAGGGGGATCTTTGCAGGAATGTGCACATTTTGAAACCCATCTTTGAAATGGAAAATACAGAGAGCAGTTTAAAAGATACTTATTTTGTTAGATTAAACAAAAAACTATTATTAACTAAATGTAGTTATACTTTAGTAAAGTGTACAAGCATTCTTGTCCATGTCTCAAATTTAAAAAAAAATAATTTTTTAAAAATAAAACTTAGGTGATCATTATTTACCCCAGAAATAGAGTGATCGTGAATTACCCCAGGTCACCCTATATTTATATTTAAAAACAATTTTTTTTAAAAATAGATGTCTTTTTTATCATCCTGTGATGTAGAAATTATAAAATTTTTTTAAAAAAATATTGTGAAATATAAAAGGTTAATTTTTAAACAAATTTAGTATTTTTTTAAAAAAAATTATTATTTTTTAATACTGCATTATTTATCCTTATGCAAAAATATTATTTATCAGTATTAATAGCATATTTATATTTAAAGGATTAGGTATTCACTTTTGTTGCTCAATGAATTATGGAAGTTCATTAATTATAAACATTTTCCTATTATATTATATTATTTTCTTTTGATAAGTTAAAGTAAATTGCATAAAAAATATCAAATATTTATTGATACATGTAATTATTATGTGTACAATGGTTACACCTATACAATTTTTACCTTAGTTCAAGGTTTTGGACAGTTTTACCCAGTTTAGGACAGTTTTATCCAGTTTAGGACAGTTTTACCCAGTTTAAGACAGTAAAACCCACATGTCCTGTCCAAAACCAGTTAAAGACGTCCAAAACCCCAACCCTGTTGCGTACAAATAAAAATTTGTAATCTTTAGCTGATGAGCAATCCTCAACATCAGATATGGAAACACTTCCCGACTCTCAGATAATTTTTCCTGAATTTCTGTTATTCCACTTTTTAAGCCTGTCTAACCTGCCATTCGAGCACATACAAGTAGTTTCTATAGATGGTTTTAGAAATCTCCATATGTATTTATTTTGAAGTAGAAATTTCAAAATTATTACAAAGAAAATGGGGGGGGGAATCAGTCAAAGACAGGAAAAAGTTCGTTATATCCAACTTCCTCACTTTTTTGGTTCACTATATCCACTAATAATAGCATTATAGGTGTATACCAAGGCACAGGACCGAGCCTTTCTTTCACCATATCCGGGAGTTCACTATAGCGGGGTTTGACTGTATATTTATTTACTTGAAGGAATCCACTAATGAGGAGGAATAATGCCTTTTTTCCCCTATCAACAGTAGTTAAAAGAAAAATAGTGATTGGTAATTAAACATTTTTGCCAATTTTTGGAAATTTCCGTGATCTGAATCACTTCAGATCTTCCAGGAATCATTTATTTGAATCACATTATTTAAATCAGTGATTTGAATAATTTCATACGCAAAGTGTTCCAAATCACATGATCTGAATCTAGATCAATTGATTCGAATCACAAATGGTGACCCAAAACGCATGATTTGAATCGCTTGAATTAAATCCTTGATCTGAATCACGTGATTTGAATCGCTGACACGAATCACTTGATTCGAATTTTTACCCAAATAACATGATTTGAATCAGTGCACCGAAACACATGATTTGAATTAATTGATTATCACTGATCTAAATTATTTGATTCTAACCAGAAATACGAATCGCAGGATTCGAACCTATTAGATTTGTTTCAATCAATCATCGTGATCATCGAGTTAAATCATTGTGAGAAGTGAAAACCTCTATACCAGTTTGACGAATGATTCGTTAAATCAATATTTTGCAATACATCTATGTATCTCTTAGTTATGATTAACAATTTGTCTTAGTAGTTAGAATACAATTTATTTATAGTCTGATATTTGTTTTAGTGCTCGGACAAGTTCGATTGGCTCACACAGACATACAGGTTCCAAACTTTGATTATTACCGGAAGGATGAGCTGAAAGACCCTACTTCATCTTCACGAGATTCTGAAGATGCTCGAAAACTTCAATCATATGTTGCATTGACAGGTTTGTTTCTGTTTATCCTACTATAATATTTTATTGATTAACATAGTTGCCACTACACAGTCATCTAAAATAACAGGTAAAAAGCAAGAAATTTTGAAATTTTCTTTACATACTGTTTAATTTATTTCTTATTTTTGTCTTTAAAAAATGCAAACATTTCAAAGCACAATCTATGGGATATTTAAAGATGATAGTTCAGCTGTATTATATTATTTAATATATTATAGCATTATTTGTTTTATGTTGAGCTGTTCTTTTTTTCTCTTAAGTTTTCCCAGCTACTTAAACTAGCATCGTTATCCTAATATAGCTCAGTAGAGTGCAGTAAATGGGTGTTTCCTCTTAATTTATTGTGTATAACGTATGCAGGGAAAACACGGGGATTTTTTTCTTCGAGATAATTACTGTAGTTGATAGTTTAGCTGTTTCCACCTTTAGTTGTTTTATCTTTGCTTATTTATTTATTTTATGCTGTTTCAAACGCATGTTACGAATTAGAGGTATCATTTTAACTGCTCTGCAGTGCGTGAGGCACTAGACCATTCAAATTATGGAACCCTTAGATTAAATATTTTTTTTTGTATATTTTTTATTTATTCAAATATACAGAGCTCATTCTAGGCAGGGTAAGCAGGGCGCAGCACCCTGCTGCCCTTTTAGACAAAATAATCCACCCTGTTGCCCCTAAAGTATTAGACCCTGATGTAATAGACTCCATACCCTTTCTTTCCTCAAACCTTCTTTATTTCTTCCCCAAACTCTTCAATAGATTTCTTAAACTTTTGTTATTTTCAACTCTTTTTATTTAGTTTGTCGTTGCTGTCAATACATAGATTTATATGGGGAAGGAAAAATAGCCATCACACCCCCTTGTTGCACTTGTCTTTGAAAGTTTGCAGTTACTTCCACTATCATTAAATCATAATTATTATTAATCATTTTAATTATTAAATCATAACTACAGACACTTAAAAACATACATTTATTATTTTATTAATATATGCATGCATTTTAAATAAATTACTAAGCTAATTAGCTCATTAACTCGATATATATGTTAATTTATTAATAAAAATTAGTAATTAATATGATTGCTTTGCTACTTTTAGTAAAGTAAAGAAAAAAAAATCTTTTACTAATTGGCAATGTTTTTTAATAGAACGTGTAAAGCCCATAGAAAGAAATTATTGCCTTTTTAGAATAATAATGCTCTTTTTTTAAACTTTTGCACCCTGCCCTTTTTTCTGCCTAGAATGAGCTCTGAAATATAAAAGTATTTATATATCTTTTCATTTAAGAAAGCATATTAAAAATAAAAATAAATAATAATAAATTGAATTTTACTTTATTTTGTTAAATTAGAACTAAAAAATAATCATTACATTTTATAATCATAACATACATATTTGAAATTGATTTTTTTTTTTAAATCATTGTTTTTCTTAATTTTTTTACATTTATTTTCAAAAAATTCATTTTAAGGGGACATCTAATCATTGGGGGCCCCAGGCCAAGGCCTAGTCTGGCCTAATGGGTAATCCGGCACTGTTGCTCTGTTCATAATAATTCTGTCCGAAATCCACCTCGTTTTCTGGCCATTTTCATGTAATTTTTCAAATTGAAATGTTATTTGATGTTATCACTTCTGGAAGCGTGTGAGGAAAAAAAAAAGCATTTTGTTTTAAAAATCTTGATTTTTCAGGACTGTTTTTTTAAATTTTTTTTTTTTATTTGTGTAGACATCCTGAACTTCAGCTAAGTCCCTCACTATAATTTTAAAGTAAGCTTGAAACAAAGATTAAATTTTTTGCAACTCTATAAGTTGGCAGTATGATCTCCATTGTAAAAGTTACAAGCTAATTAAGTGAGCTTGTTAATGCTTTTATTTTCTTATTAAAACAAAATTACAGCATGTTCGTTTTCCTTTATGATGAAATTCTAAAACTTAAAACACAAACACAAGGTCCTGGAGCAGTGTGTTTCTTATGTCATTTAAATGGCTCTTTGCATATGACTTTTTCCTACTTAATCATAATAATAATATGAATAGATTTCTTAATAATTGTGGGAAATATACTGTAGAAGTAGTAGAAAAATTTTGAGAAAAGAACTTTTGTTTGGGATCAAAATCTATTTTTTAAGCTATTTCAAGACTCATGGAACTTGAATCATAGCTACCGACTCTACTGGATTTTGCCAGTTTCTCCTGGTCTACTGGTTTAACTAAAATTCTCTTTGTTTCTGTACATTTTAGAAAATTTCCTAAAATTGAATAAGTTTTCTAAGAAAAAAAATCCGTACTGAAATAGAATTTTTGTACAGATTATTTCTTGAATATTTAAATAATTGTAACTAATACATAATGAAGCTATCCTCATATATAGAAATCAGTTTAAGACTTTTTTTTTTGTTCAAAAATGTTCAGTTTATTTCTATTCAGAGCTGTTTTTAAATTAATTTAAAATAATCTTAACAATCTTTGATGAATTAAATGCCTATTAATGTTCGAAATTGTGAGTGAACATAATACATAACATTTCAAGTATGTTTAATGCCAATCATAACTGGAAAATAGTGCAGTGTTTCTATTTTGATTGCAAAAAGCATCTAAAATTCCCTATGTGTGAAATATTTAGTACATTATGCAACACTTATCATGAAATTTATATTTCGTAAAATCTACTGGATTTTTTTCCTATCCGTGTTGAAAGCTATGTTTAAAAAAGATTTCCTATGATAAAACAGTTTTGATATTCTGTACTTGATATTTAAAACACTGTTTTGTTAAAGCTCTAAAAAATATTCTACCAAGAAGTGATTAAAAAGAATTTATTGTATTAGAGAAGAAGAGTGCAAGATCATCAAGTTCTTTATGGTATGAATATAGATGAATTCCAATTCAAGCTCGCTGCAAAAGATTAATGTGTTCACAACTCTGGAGAACTACTGATAGCATCTTATAATGACTTTCTGCTGCTCAAAATTTTTCTAGACTATTCAGCTCTAAATAAAAGATTTTCAGAAGCTACACCTCCGAAACAAACCTATGTCTGAAGATCTTATAGCATTAGCTATACAGTGTAACGTTCCTTTTCCGGAAGGGTCGATTTCCGGGACACTTTTTAACAATCAAAATAAATAAACAATCCTTCATCTCCCGCTCTCTAAGAAAAAAAAAGAAAGATGTATTTTGACACGTTTTCCCCTTTCCTAGCTTTTAGTGATTTATGCATTGAACCCATAAATCAACAGAAAGGGGAACAGAAGATCTACTAAGACCATAACATTAGTGATACTCCTCCTCTGAAATGCAGGAAAGGGGGGAGATTTGTTTTCAAAGGAGCACAACTAAGTCCTCTCCCCCCCCTTCTTTCCTATGCAGCTGACTAGTAAAAGAGGCATTTCCTGAAACCTTTTTATTAGAGTGTTAGGGGAAGAAGAAATACTGTGAAAAAGGGTAAACACAGCAAACTTTAAAGTGGATGGTAATCACTTTCAGTCACACAAGAAAAAATGAAGGGAACCCAATCAGCATGCCTGGCCTTTATGATTGATTGATAGCCAATGATGAGAGAGAAAATAAGAATATGTCACTTACCCGCCCTCAACTTAAATGACAAGTAAGGAGGAAATAAATTTTTCTTCTCCACCTTAATGAATAACAGGAATTTCCCCTTGCTTGAATCGTTCTACTTCAAAATGGCGGAGAAAGCAATTAATATTTTCATAACTGTCACATTTTTTTCTTTTTTCTATATTTATTTTTATAATAGCAATAATTTTTTTTGTAATATTTAGTTTTTGATTGATTAGATATCATTGTAATACTAAAACATTATTGCCCAAAAAGTAATGTTTATTTATTTTTTGCTTCTTAGATTCAGATCGTTTTAAGCTTTGTTTACCTTGGGGGTCTATTATACGGAAAAATCTAATATCCGGACTTTCAGAAGTCCCATCGATTCTGGATGCGCGACTTTCCACTGTATTTGATGCTTTTCCCTGGGGCAGAATTTTTTCGGGCTTTCTGCGACAAACTTCCCTAGCACTAATATTTTGCTTTAAGATACTTTTAATTATAACAATTACTATTTTAAAGTAACAGAAATGTTGTGTTTACAGAAGAAAGTATAGAATAAAAAATTTTTAATTGTAAAAGTAATATTTTTTAAAATTCCAACATTATAGGTGATATTCTTGCATTTTGTTGGTGGAAGAATTCAATTTTTGAATTTTTTTATATCATTAATCTGAAATTCTAGATGAAGTCAATTATTATCTTCCTTCTTTTAAAAATCTCAAATGAGAATAGAAAAATCATAATTATTTCTTTCCTCTCTGGTGTGCAGTAAAGAAATCTTTGGGGGAAAAAATGTTTAATCAAAAACTGTAACATTCTTCGACAGTGTCGCCGTGTCGCAGCAATTCTGCCACGGGGATGCCTTTTACGAAATTACTTAGGGCTATGAAAGAAGTAAAAATAATCCTCTTAAGTATACTACCCTTATATTTATATCTTACAGAAAAAAAAATATCAATTGTTTACATAAAATAAGACTTCAATGTGAAATCTTTGAAGTTGATGCAATTGTATAGAATAATACAGGATTTGAATGAAGCTTCCGAAACTGTAAAATCTATTGCAGTTATAAATGATACTGCACTTACTTAAGAGTTCAATTCGTAATTCATGTGGTTAAAAAACACTGACGACAAACATGCACTGTTGACCCTAGATGGAAGAAAATACAGTCGAACCCCGCTATAGTGAACCTGGGATATAGTGAACACTCGGATGTAGTGAACTTTTTTAGCGGTCCCGTCCGTATTCCTATTTAAATAATGTTATTTTTAACGCTTATAGTGAACAGCTTAGAACTTGGAAACTCGGTTATAGTGGACTCAAATTTCATTTCTTTAAATATCTTTTTCAGTCCTCCATCTTTAAACTTGTAGGTGTTGGGACTGAAAATGAATGCATTCCTATAAAATGTGTCATA